CTATGCGCCGGCCATCTCATTCTCACTGTTTTTTCTTGAGGAAACACGAAACTCTTAATGGGCTTGTCTTTTCCCGGCGGACAACAGGCTCGGGTCCTTACAGCGTCTTTCATGTTGCCGATTCCCATGGCGGCGGTCTTGCAACTGCTTGAGATGTTAGGAGCTATTATGGGTTCAGCTAATGCGAGCGGCAAGGAAGCGAAGTTGGCGGTGGTGTAGAGGCCGCCGAGGCCCACGAGAAGATTCCTCCGGTCGACATTGGGCAGTATGAGCTTTTGGGTTGCTGGGATTATGAGTGATTTCGGATTATTAGTATCGTCGTCATGATCTGCCGGTGCAACGTTGCATGAGACTCTGAAACCGTGGTGGTTTTGGTTCTTGGAGGATCGATGGGAGAAGGGTTTGGAATTGGAGAGGAAGGTGGAAGAAGGATTTAAGAATGTGTTGGTGGACGTAGCAGCTGTTTGTGTGCATGCAGAGGTAAAGGGAAGCATTGAAGAAGCCATGGTTATGGATGAGTGTTTCTGAATGCATGCTTGACCACCCATTATATAGATAASCAATTCACGTCAGGTTAAAAGAGATAAAAACCCCTTTTTTATTTATAATAAAATAAAATTGGTATTTCAGAAATTTCAAAAAGAATTAAAATATTTGTGTAGTAGCAATAAATTATTTTTTATGGTTTTTTTTATCAATGAGATTAAAAATTTAGATGATTAAATAATATTTTATTAAATAATATTTAGAAATAACAACCGTATCGACTTAAACAGAAATCGAGATTATAGATTATCTATCGCGAACATCRATGAAAGAGTAATCCAACATCGAAAACACTAACACACAATCACACAATTGCAACAAATAATAGGAAGTAGGGACAACACCGAATTCAGGTGGAAAACCCAACATGGAAAAAAAATGACTGACGGAGAAGATTGCCGAGGAGTCCATAATCAAGATGTTGAGTACAATGCTTGGAATCGAAGATACAATGGGAAGATACACAACCCTAGTCTAGTGTAGTCGCAACTGCTCTTTTTTTTTTATTTATAAAAAGAGAACATGTATAAAATTACACGAACCACGTAAAAGGAATGCTGGAACTGCAACTTAAAACCGTTACCAGTGTTTGGGACGACTTTTTCGACGACTAAAGTTGTTTGGGAAGTCRTCCGGATTTCATATACGTACGTACACTTGATTGTACAACTCCAACCTTCTCCTTACATTTAAGCTTCTTTTTAATAGTCAAACAACATTTTCAACGCTCCTTTCTCCGTGCACACATATCATTTTCAGCACCCATTCCCTTGCACGCACACCATTTTTGGCGTCGCCTTCTCCTTTCACACACACACATACAAACACAAGATCATGGTGTTTTAAAATTTATAACAAATTAAGTTTAAAACGAATCGGTAACTTCCTTTCATGTTGCACATACAAACACCATCAAAACAAACCTCAAAGAATTCCAAAAATACAACAATCAGATAGGAAAAGAAAAAGGCAAACTCAAGTTCTCTGTGTGCAAACCCACAAGGATGATAAACGTAATTAGAAAACTACAGAGATGAAAATATAAATATTTGACAAACCATAAGGACTAAAATTGTAATTTACTCTTTAAATTATCTGATTCGATGGTTAAGATGTTTTGGAATAATCGTATTATAAATATACATATAATATGTTGAAAATCAGTGAAAATCTATATAATTAAAAATGAATGAGTATAAAAAAATTCAATAAATTTTAGTGTTTAAAATAATTAAGTTTTTTTGGACTAGTTTTTAGAACAAATAAATTTTTGGACATTTCAAAACCTGTTAAATAACTCGAACTTTCTAAAACCTGTTAGATACATCCTTATAAAACAGGTTAATATGGTAAAATAATGAAAAAAGTCTGAAAAAAAGTCAATGAAATTTCATTTTTTGAACGATTAAATCTCTATATATATTTTGAACTAAAAAAGTACTTACATCTATAAAATGAAAAAAATAGGAGAATCTGAATTCTATCAAGCGTTGAACGGGCTTTGCTCAAGCAGTTTCCATTGCGGTTGGTTCTACTGAAATTTATTTTAATAAAAAATTTCTGTTAGTGATTTTTTAAATTAAAATATTTCATTATTAAACTTAAATTAAATTATAAAAAAATCTATACTATATTATAAAACATTTGACAAAAACTCTTAAAAACAATTTTTTATGTGTAAAATACTGTTTATTAATGCATATTACTTAAAACTCAAGATTACAAGTAGATTGTGCGTAAGTACAACTTATTAAAGCTCTATATCTGAATTCGTGTAACTAATTGCAGATAAACATAATCAAATACAAGATAAACATCTTATTTTAAATATAAAAAATCTAAAATAT